TAAGAAGGACAAGATTGGTGTCTTGGGGAAGTCAGGATATTCTGTCTGAGTAACAACAGCAGAACAAACCCACTTAACATAATAAAATTACAAGTAAGTAAGAACAATTACTGATAAGTAACTTGCGGAAAGGATATATATTTCAGTACTCAAGGGAGATGACTACCCATTCGTCTTCCAATAGCTGAAATTATTTACATATCAGACAATTTTAAGATAATTATTGCACTTTGCCATGTCACACCTGCCATTTGGAGCCTGCACGTCGTAGGTGTCTTGCATACAAGAGCAATACAAGCCTCAGGGGCTCATGGCAGGATTTTACTGAAGTATCAGGGTGAGTGCAGTCCCTTAGGACTCTACAAGACTGACCTCTTGCTTCTGTGCTGTTACAGAAATTATTTATCAAATGGCCCATATTTAGCCAATTAAATATTTGTGTTTTGGGGATGGATCGAGTGTTTGCTTGGTTTTCCTTCCTACCTTGTTTATAACACTGGTCCTACAGTACATTCGAAGCACCAGGGATGCCCTGTTTAATGACTGTGGGGCTATCTCCAGCTCCAGGGTTTGTTTTTCCCCAGTATAAACAATGTTATCTAGACCTGAATACATGCTGGAAACCCTTTTTCTCTGTGTATGTAAGTCAATCAAACCCTCCTGCAGAGGGTGTAAGGTGTTTTTCAAGCATTCTTTAGAAACCAGTCTATCCCAGTTCCCCTGCAAGAATTCCTTTCCACAGGAATTTCCCAGCAGGTGCTCTTTGCCAGGTGCTGTCCAGCCAGCAGTCACAGAGTTGCAGACTGCTAACATGAGCAAAGTCCCCAAAACCCCATCACTCAAAGCAGAAATTACATAATAAAGTACCTGACACTTACATCTTCAGATTACCACTCCAAACACTAGCTCTAACACTGAGGACTAAGGTTATTAATACCTTGTTTTTTCTTTCTGAGATTAGGAATGCTCTGAAATGAAACCTGGAAATTCATTTTGATGGTGATTTATCTTTTCAGCTGCCCTAATCAGAGACATGTGTCAACAAGCAAGAAAATCAGGTTGCCACTTAAAGCAATAAAAGCTGCTTTACAGGTTTCTCTTCCTGTTCTTTTTTTTGCTTGGAGGTGAGATTGCTGAAAATAATTTGAATATTGCTTAATGGCTTTAGAAGCTGAATTCTATTAATTTTAATCATAGCTGGTTGTAACAGTCCTGTGGCCTCTAAACAGGAAGGCGTTTCCACAACACAACTGAATACTTAAATTCAAATTTGTAGACAAATGAGCACAATGTTAAAATTGCGTAACAGCAAATTATCTATCTCCTGTTCTGGAATATCGGGAACTGTTGAGCTAATAACGCAGGACCCTTTCAACTCCGAGCGCCAGCTGATTGCAGCATTAATGCAATAGGAACCAGTAATGCTTAAAAATGGAAGTGGAAGCCTCTCCAGGACAAGTCCTGTTTAAAAATACAAAATTTTTAGCCGCAAGAGTTTCTGTTTGTCTAGGGATCTGCCATTCCCTTTGGTTATAGCTACAAGGTAATTGGCCTGGGTGGTAAGGCTGTCTGAGACCTCTGGAGATGTGAAGCTTTGGGCTATTCCTTATGCTTAAAACCAGCCTTGGATTAATGCAAATGGGGTACCTTTCAGAAAAGGTATCCATGCCACAGAAACACAGTGGATTCTTGTATCTCATTGACTGAGCAGCTGGTTTAAGGTGGCTTTTTTTTCCCTTTCACTCCTATGTTTTCCTTTTATAAATTATGCATCTAGAATTGCATTATCCCAAGATGCCCCTCATGTTTGCTGCCGTTTCCAAGACAGTCCTGCTAACGGAGAAAGTCTCTGGGTAGGTTAAATGCAGCGGAAGTGTGTTAGCGGTCAGGACAGAGGCTTTAATTTGACTGTTTGTCTTTTACTTATCTCAACCTCTATCATTCATTTGGAGACCACACTATCTCTATATTAAGACAGCTTGCGTTCTTGCTGGTAGTCCAGGGAGCCTCACAACAAGTGCATCTGAGTGCCTGGGGATGGGCTTATCCCAAGAGTGGGAAGAACTGAATAAACACAGGCTGGCTGCAGGAACTTGGTGACCCAGCTGAATGGAAACACAGTCCCTGGGCTGAAGAAAGTGTAACAAGGCCTTTGGCATAAGCCAAAAGGTCTGCTCCTTATTTTAATTACTTCATCCTTTATTCATGTATCCCTCCAAGAGAGCGATAGTGGTGAGTCTGCAGGCTGGTAGACTGGTCTAGTTATCAGCAAAATCAGCCTGGGGAAATTTTTTCCTGACCTTGGCTTTTCTTTATACCACCTCTGTCTGTATGAGATACATAAGCATATGTGCCGCTGTGGGCAGAAAGCCCCATTAGCCTGAGATCTCCCCGCTCCAAACCACTGCAGCACCCTCCTGATAACCTCCCAGCCTTAAACACCCGCAGCAAGCGCTCCAGCCTTGCCGTGCCTCTCTGCCGCGGTCAGGCTTAACAGATATTTACCCAAGAAAGGTATGAGTTTAACTAGCACAGGTATAACCCCAGTGTCAATACCATAATCCTAGATAGTATGAGAGGGCCCTTATCATTTTCCTTTCAATTGTATAGGAAAGGGCTTAACCTCCTCACTGAAAAATGTTGCTCTTCTTGCAGAAGGTATAAATAGAGACACTTTTGGCTCTCAGTGAGTCACAGTTTGCCAGCTGTGCCATTTTTATTACAGGCTTTGCAATATTTACAAGGTTTTAAGACCTCTCTTGAGTTCTGCCTTGAAGTAATTTATCTGAAAGGAATCATTTTCCATTCATACCAGGACAAACCAGTGGTGGCCCTTCCCCCGCAGCCTGTACCCTTGCAAGTAAAGCTGTTCCCAGCGCAGGCACTGCTAGACTTAAAACTGAAATGGTCTGCCCCCCAAAAGCATTGTAGGCAGCTTCTTGGTCTAGGACATGTAATCTAGGAGATACGGGGAAGAAGGAAGTGAAGGAAATGGACTGCTTTGGGAGAAGGAGGGGAAAAAAGATATATTGGGGAAAGTACTGATGGTTGGAGGACACAGAGGAAGAGGGGCTGGTGGAAAGTAAAGCCTGGGTGGGTGATGGGACAAGTACAGAGATTCTTCTGCATAAAGAGCTGCTAACAGAAACAAGCCTCCCTCCCTTTTTTTACTGCAGAGTGTTTACAGTTTCACTGTGCTTGTTGCCAGCAAAGAGGGTGCATTCATGGGGGTGTTGAGAGTTGAGGAGCAACTGGGGAACAGATATGAGGAGGTCTGGACAGGAAGTTGAGGGATGGGTGGAGAAACACTGGGAGAGGAGCCAGCATGTGGCTGAAGGAGGGGGAGCAAAGGCAGTTGGCTCCCTTACCAACAGTGCTGGAAAGACAGTTGGAGTGCCAATTCAACCAGACAGTCTGCCACGCTCAGGCTAAGCCTACGGTTGTTGCCTTCCCAAAGAAGAAGGGGCAAAAATCTACCTTACAGCATCTCCAGATGGCAAGGTGTAAGCTAGTCTGGCAGGATGCTCCGTTTGTAACTTCATACGGGAATGCTGAACCTTAAACACTGACAGTGCCGGTGACCTAAAGGAATAAAGATGGAGAAATATGATCTGTCAAGGTGCGTGCACTTCACAGTGTATCTGCCAGGCAAAAATTTACACATCAGTAACCAAAGTAAGGCTGCTACAAAACAAACCTGGGATCCTTTTTATTGGTAATTTGTCTTCTCTTCGGGAAATACCCGCATACCACCAGAATATACTGTACAGTCTCCAGAGGTAGTAAACCACTAACTATTGTAAAATATTTGGCCTATACCAATGGCTCTTCATTATTTTAATCACGGGCTGCAAATTTTCCAGTGCTTCCTCAGTGTTTCTTGCCTTGAGGAACAGAATTTCTCTTGCCCCAAACTCACTATGAACATGAGACTGGAGGGACATGACATGACCAAGGTTAAACCGTGACACCAAGCATCCTTGTTCCTGGCATTTCAGGCAACAGAAGTGTAGAACAAAATGATACATCGGAAGGTTTTCCAGCAGGACTAAAATCTGCTGTATTTTTTACTGTGAGCTGACCTGGTCAGCATGTGTGTCCTTAAACACTATCTCCAAAATAAAGGAGTCCCTCTGTGAAGGCTCGTACAGTTGCTTATTGTTCTGTCTGTGTATTTTCTCTAAGTAGATGTTTTTAGCCAGAACTTAAAGATTATTTAAAATACTGAAAAGCAATTTTAACAAAAAACAGTGGAAGGACGAACCCATTTCCTAGTTAATACTTGTTCAGCCATTCTCCTTTCTGTGTGGAGATGGGAACAATGAATGCATAAAGGTATTACCTGAGAGGAACATCTTTCCTAGACTTGTAACTTCCATTAAAAACTCTTTTAATCTGTAATGTATCTTATTTTTTTGGAATGAGCTGAAAAATCTTCTTAATACTATTTGAGATTCTTTTTTCCCTCCCTTTCCTAGCTTATCTTTTCTTTATTCCCAACAATTGCAGAATAATAAAAATAATTATCGGAAGTAAGCAGAGGAGTTTTTACAAAGCAGTTCTTTTAATCTCATCTTTATTCCAGAGCATAAGAGTCAGCCATCCACATTTATGGAAGCTGGCCCAAAGCCTTCCCTTTTAAATGCGTATCTCCCCGACTTCCATGTGAACCCTGTGCCTTTGTAAGTTATTGCAGTTTTAATTTCTACCGCAGAATAAATAGCAAAACCCACTCATAATCAGAATGCAAGAATTGCGAGTGCCCACTGATACAGCCTCAAAAACTGCAAGCAGCAGCTGCTAGAGCTAAAAATTGTTTTCCTGTACTCCAGGGCAGCAGAGGCTGGTGATGGCCCTGATGCCTTATTTCTGTTTGAACTCTGGTTTATGTAGCAATTACATGTGGTATCAACCTCGAAATGATGGTCACCACAGCATTTTTTAGTTCCAGGTCTTTGCGCTGCAGCTGTAATTGAGACTTCTGTCGTTACAGGCCGTCATCTCAAAGTCACTGAAAGCTGAAGATGGATATCAAGCGTGTGAAGGACTATCTCTACTGGCTGTACTACCAGTACCTACTGATCACCTGCAGCTATGTGCTGGAGCCCTGGGAGCGGTCCATGTTCCACACCGTCACCGTGACTGTCTTCGCTATGGTGCTGTACACGGCTTACGTCTTCGTCCCCATCCACGTCCGCCTGGCTTTGGAGTTCTTCTCCCAGATATTTGGAGGCCAGCCGGAAAGCCCGGTTTCTGTCATGAACTGAACTTGGCTGAGTAGCAACTAGCAGCTGTTGCAACTTGCGAAATGCAGTGTCTTCTCCAATTTTGTGTATTTATTCTGAAGCAGTTTTGCAGTTATGAAAGTACCATTTTTTCTTTAAAAACATGGCTTGCGTAGTTACCATAGCTGAAAACCAGAATAATGCACCGGCTACCAGCTGCACAGTCCTTGTTAAATGAAACACAGGCCAGCTTTCGCTGTGTGAAAATGGCACACATCACCTGGAATGCCACATTTACCTAATATTCAACTGGCTCCTGCTTTCAGCACCCTAATTTAATCACACTGGCATGTATGCAACAGCAAAGACTCTTCACAATGGCTGTAAGGAGGGGTGCTACGCTGATTATACACAAAGAAGTTCTGCTAACAGAGTGCAGTGGTAAAACACACCACGTCTTCTTTGACCCAGGTTAGAGAATACAAGGAGATGAGTATAATAGAGCATGATTTGAGGGCTAACAGCTGGCTGGTGACTGACTTGTAGTTTATAATGGGTGAGAGGGGAAATTAGAAGAGAAAGTAATGGGAGCACGAACTTGAATCCAATTTTTTTTGCATCAAAGTTGCTGCATCTAAGTTAAAAAAAAAAAAACACATACTATAGGTAATCTTGCAGTTTACTAAAAAATGACAGAAGGAGAGAACTGGCTCTGTTTCAGTTCATTCCTGCCTGATAAAAACCCAGACACTTTTCTTTCGGCTCCCATTCACCAAGGCAAAGTGCATGTCTGCACCAGAGGAAGACGATCCAGAAAATAGAGTGGAAGTAATATTTTAATAACTGCAGGGAAGTCTGAGTGCTTAAAGAGATCTCCTTTATAAAGAAGTGAGATTTATTGTAATTGCTGTGGGGAGTTTCTTGAGCAGTAGAAGGTTTGTTTAGTTTTTGCCCCTAAATCAAATGTCAGTGCCAAATGCCGTCACAGCTATACAGTGCATGTATCTAACAGCTGATGCTGCTGTCACTGAAAGTGAGAGGTGCAGAATGTAAACAGCTTTCAAATTATGTTTGTACAGGTAGAGGATTAAAAATACCCTCTTCACTTCTTTATCAAGCTGCAGGGGGGTTCTGCATGCTTAAAAGGACAGAATCTGGAAACTAAGACATGTTTTGAAGGTTGAACAGATCTGAACATGTGTGTGCAGTTTTTTCAGAAAAAAATAAAATCTTATTCTTCAGAAACACCATTTCAGTGCATGACTCAGCTCTTTGTGTGTTTTCTGTTTGTTCATAAATACCCTGGATGTGTGGGCCAGGCTGGCACCATGGCAGACAATTTCATGGTGAATGTTTTGGGGCAGGGTTTTAGAGCCCCTTAAATGGATCTGTGTGCTGGCTGCCACGTTCATTAGTGCTCCAGCCCAAGACCTCTTCTCTCTCTGCTGGTTGGGGAGGAAAAAGAGCCAAAACCCAGAAACTTTATTGAGGATCCTGCTCCACAGACCTGTTCACCAGGTCCTGAAGGCAACTCTTGGAGAAGCACAGGTCTCCTGCTTGGCAGAGGCCACGTTCATCATGTCGTACTCACTAGTTGTGTTCAGGCTCTCACACCTTGGATTCTCTTACAAGGAGCCACTGATGGGCTTCAGATTAGGGCAGCAACTACCCGTGCGTGCTGGCACAATGGAGTGGTTTAGACTCAAATGGGAGCCAAAGGCTTAGCTGTTCTATCAGTTCAATCACAGTTGTTAACCTGAAAATATGAGGTACCAAGCTGTAATCACGCCTACAGTAATAAACAGAGGGTTGGAGGAGATGAAAGATGTCATGTGAACATTTCTATGAAAGCAGTCTATAAAACAGAATAAAAGTAACAACCCAAATGGTGGAAGTCAGAAAATGAAAATATTTATCCAGCAAGTTGGTGCTTGAACCAAAAATACTTCCCACCATCCTACCCTCAAAAGATTCTACTTTTTAACGAGATAACGTGATGATGTAAATGCCATGGCATCTTCTCATCAATCCTGTTTTCCAATAACAGCTTCTTGTTTAATATCTCAAAAAGGTTATTTGTTCCCAATGGCATCAGACACAACTGACCTGCTTTTAGGAGAATGAGGAAAAACACTTTCTTACAGGCATGAAAAGGCTGGGTCCTGTATCTCAAGGAGCACACACCCCGATGTAATGTTGCTATTTAAACATTTAATTTAAAGCAAACAGAACAAGCAAATGCCGTTGTTCAGGAAGAGGGAATTTCCACTGACCTCTCACGGTGGGATTCCTGTCAAGCACTTCCTTATTATTCCTGTTACCTTTACTTAGCTTTGCAGGAGGTGCTCGGAAGACGACAGCAGTTTCTCTTTGGGAGAGTCCCTGCAGCCTTACTTAAGTGAAAATACTTTTTTTTGCATGCATTCTACAGCTTCTTCACTAAAATTTAAAGTTTTGAGGCAAGAGTTATTTATTCACCAGGAAGCAAAGAGGTGGCTGAAAATAAGCTCTCTCTGCTAAAATGCCCTTTGAGATTTTTCCAACCCTTTACACTTTTCCTTTCTATACTAGAAAAGCTGAAATAACTCTAGCTACACAATATCCAGAATTAGTGGATTCCAACATGAGATTTCAAAGCATTTTTGGCACACAGCAGAGAACAGAAACTCTTTTTTTTCCCGGCTGAAAGAGCGAGGAGGTGGGACATCGCTTCCGACAGCTTGAGACCCCACCACAGCTTAGGAAACTCTGCTCCAGTTTTGAAAGCCTTTTCCCTGTAGACAAAGCCGAGATAGCAGAGAGGTTTTCATCAGATTACATCTGCTCGCTAACAGGGAAGCTCGGTTGCTGTAACAGCAACAAGCCGCAGGCGGAGGGTCGTATTTGGGAGAGCTGCCAGTAACACCAGCAGACGGCTCGGTACGTACAGCATATGGGCAACAACTCCGTTGTAAAGAGTATAGAGTCAGGCTCTTTACAGAACACCTTGGCAGGGCACTCTTTTCTCTTGCTTCATTATTTCTCCATGTTAATTGTAGTTAATTGCTCCATTATTACCCTGTGTTAATTGTAGTTCAGGCTGAGCACAGCAGCTGGAAGTTTTTACACCAAAAAAACACAAATGAAAGGACTATGTTAAGAGTAAACAGAACCAGTAATCCAACAGTGATAAATGAAACAAAAGCAGAAAGGGAGATGAACCAGCTCCAGTTGCATTCACCCTGAAAGTACAAATGCATCACTAAATTAAGCGCTGAGAAATTTTTGGGCACAGCTCACCAGCACCATACTGCCCTTGTTTAAAATTCATTTTCTTAATTTCATTTAATCAAAGCTAGCATTTATCCTGCTGTAAAGGTTTCCTGGCCAATTTCATGGATCACCTCCCAAATCCATTACCGAGGGTGGCTACATGTGCACGTCCAAACCAAGAATTTCCAGAAGCTTCTTCCTGAAGCCTCCCCGAACAACCCTGACTGGAGACTATTAAAAAAAGCTTCCGGGGAACCTTTGCCTTAGCAGTGGTCTCGCACAGGAAACACAGGGATCAGGATCACCACCAGTGCCTCTGCGAATCTAGCAGGCTTATTGCTAAGTTATGTCGGTGCACCCCTTTTATCACATGAAATAAAATGCAGAGCTTGAAATAGGGTAGCAGCAGTTCATAGCTCTGAGTGTCGTCAGTGGGATATGGACACCTCTGATGACCACCTAAACCCAGCTTACGCGAGCAGTGACTAAATGCAGAGCTAACTTATTTGAAGCGTGATATTCCCCGTCCTTTCCATACCTCGAGAGCCTTAGAGTGGCTCCTGCCTGACTGATTACTCAACAGAAGAAAGAGAAACCTCCATTTCTATCCTTTCTCTTGGTCCTTCTAGAAGAGACTGGCAAAACAGTCCATGGCAGTTGTTGGGGAAGCGCTGCCATGGCCAAGCCTACACATCTTTTGGGGCATCTAGGTTCAAGCCAGCCACTTGCAGACAATCTGTCATCTGGGCGTCTGACTTTATCTACATGGAATTCCCTGAAAAACGAGACCCTGTGTTTATAAAGTTTTGAAATCTTAAGAATGTTCAAGTACAAATTTTTTTCCTGAAGTTTTATTATTGTTGTTATTTGGCCATAATTTAAGATTCTTGCTTTGCATGCAAATTCAGTGGGGAAAAAAAAAGTTAATTTTTTTCACTTACAAGATTCGTAGAGTTATGGTTAAGGGTAAGAAGGCCCTAAAGTTTTTATCAAGTCAAAAATGTCATTAACATATATAAAATAATCATTTTTATAAAGGCCCTGTTTTAGATAAACCTTCCAAAACAGCAAATGGATATTATCAATGAATAGCAGACAAAAAAACGTAATGCAGGGAACTGTGCCTCCACAGGGACATCTCTTTGAAACTTGCCTACAAAGACGAATGGTATGTAAAGGGAAATCACTCAAAT